TTAAGGTTTTGTTTGAGATTTTTGAAGAAATGTCGAACATAGACATAGAAGGGATATTGAAGGAGTTGCCTAATGATGGGAGGACTCCAAAGACGAAGATAGTTTGCACATTAGGTCCTGCGTCTCGGTCTGTCCTCATGATTGAGAAGCTTTTAAGAGCAGGCATGAATGTTGCTCGTTTCAATTTCTCTCATGGAAGTCATGAGTATCATCAGGAGACTCTTGACAATCTCCGTACCGCTATGCAGAATACTGGCATTCTCGCTGCTGTTATGCTTGATACAAAGGTTTATCTATCTTTCTCTTCTTTTGTTGATTGATTTTGTTTATTGAGCTGCTCATCTACAAGTGTGTAAACAGGAGTTGCTGTTAGATCGTGTGTGGTTTTACTGAGAACTGGTTACACATTTTGTAGTTGAAATGTGAAATGTTCAAGTTTAATTCTTATCTCCATGAAAGTTTCACCCTCTCAATTGAGAAATTTGAGTAAAGAGAAAGGAAGTTGTATTATGAAAACGGAAAGAAGATGAAATTAGAACATGGTTTATGTCTAGAGCGTCTTTGGTTGCTGTTTGAGTTGCTTCTAGTTAAGGTCCCGAGCATGAACATTGGGAATTTAGTTTTTACATTTTGCTTGTTATGTTTTATTGTTGATGGTGTTGGCTCAAACTAGCAATTGATAGATCTTATGTGTTGCGTAGAAAATCATTATGGTTTGGAATTTATTAGTCTGTGTTTACAATTAATAATCTGACTGTAACATCACAGGGGCCTGAGATTCGTACGGGTTTCTTGAAAGATGGGAACCCTATACAGCTGAAGGAAGGTCAGGAGATAACAATTAGCACTGATTATGACATCAAGGGTGATGAGAAAACGATTTCCATGAGCTACAAAAAGCTTCCAGTGGATGTGAAGCCCGGAAATACCATACTGTGTGCAGATGGAAGCATAAGTCTAGCCGTTGTGTCATGTGATCCAAAGTCTGGGACTGTTATATGTCGATGTGAAAATACAGCGATGCTGGGTGAAAGAAAGAATGTGAATCTACCTGGTGTTGTTGTTGATCTCCCCACGTTGACTGAGAAGGATGTAGAAGATATTCTTAAATGGGGTGTTCCAAACAAAATCGATATGATTGCTCTTTCCTTTGTTCGCAAAGGTTCAGATCTTGTTAATGTCAGGAAAGTACTTGGATCACATTCCAAGAGTATAATGTTGATGTCAAAGGTAACAATATACGCACCCTATTTCATTTGTGGCTACTTTGAAGATATGAGATCTGAGTTTTTGTTTGGTTTGAAATTTTGGAAGGTTGAGAACCAGGAAGGAGTGCTGAATTTCGATGAGATTTTGCGTGAAACGGATGCATTCATGGTTGCTCGTGGTGATCTAGGGATGGAGATTCCGATAGAGAAGATCTTCTTGGCTCAGAAGATGATGATCTACAAGTGTAACCTTGCTGGTAAACCGGTGGTCACAGCCACTCAAATGCTCGAGTCTATGATCAAATCGCCACGGCCAACACGAGCTGAAGCCACGGATGTAGCAAATGCGGTTCTCGATGGCACGGACTGTGTGATGCTCAGCGGAGAAAGTGCTGCAGGAGCTTTCCCTGAAATAGCAGTGAAAACAATGGCTAAAATCTGCATCGAAGCAGAATCATCGCTTGACTACAACACAATCTTCAAGGAGATGATTAGAGCAACTCCACTTCCAATGAGCACACTGGAGAGTCTTGCATCAACCGCTGTAAGAACCGCAAACAAAGTCAAGGCGAAACTCATCATCGTGTTAACTCGAGGAGGTACAACGGCTAAACTCGTGGCCAAGTATAGACCGGCTGTTCCAATTCTCTCGGTTGTTGTCCCGGTTTTCACCAGCGATACATTTAACTGGAGCTGCAGCGACGAGTCACCGGCGAGGCATAGTCTGATATATAGAGGTTTGATTCCGGTTTTGGCTGAAGGATCTGCAAAAGCGACTGATAGTGAATCAACAGAGGAAATTATTGAGTCTGCATTGAAGTCGGCGACTGAGAAAGGACTGTGTAACCATGGTGATGCTGTGGTGGCTTTGCACCGTATAGGAGCTGCTTCAGTTATCAAGATCTGTGTGGTCAAGTAATTTCTTACCAAAATCATCATCTTTTGAAGGTTTATGTTTCTTGATGAAATAAAGAACAGGGAACTAGGTTCCTGAAAGTGTTTTTTGGTTTTTGTTGGCATTTTTTTTTGGCTAATATTTTAGTTTATAAGATTTTATGGATCTTATGTGATCTGTTGGCTAATCTAAAAACAGATCACATAAGATCTCCCTTTCGAATGTTAATTATGGTTTAACTTGTGATGAATGAAACATAGGTTAAGCTCTAGTTATATAACTTTCTTTTCTTTTTAATCACCATTAATAAGGCCTATAAGAGGAGAGGATTTTTGTCTATTATTACGGTCTATGTTATAGGGGAATCTTTCGATTAACAAACAAAAAGTTGATTTACTGATTCCTAATTCTTAAGACGGCATAATCTTGTCAAGTATAAAAAAGGAAAAGTCATAAACCCTAGTGCGACTAGGTTTTATTTTCGAATGTGCGACTAAGATTCACA